TTGCAGAAAAATATAAAATAAAAACGGAAAATTTTATTTATGATTTGATGTGTGCGTATGTGTGTATGAGGCAAGCTGGCTTCGAATCACATTTATATGGTTTTTCTTTTCATTTTGCTTCATCTTATCGGAAGCGCAATAGATGTTGGGGGAACCAGAGAGATAGAGAAAGAGAGAGGTGGTTTGGTTTGCGTTGCCAACGAAGTTCTAAATTCGGTTATGATATTTCGATGTTGTATGAGCGAAGGAAATGACCTCCGTCTCCCTTTATCTTTCCCAATCGTTTGCCGTTGTTGCGTTGAATTTTCTTTTTCTTACGTGTACGATATAGGGCGAGAATTCGATGCTGATTCCGAGAACACCATATAACTTACGCTGGGCATCGTTTTTCTTTTTTAGGTTGCTTGTTTTTTCTTCTGCTTCTTCTTCTTCTTTCGACCGTTCACTTCTTGCCTCTTCTCTCACTCTCTGCAACCGCATATTTACTTTGGCGCGTGTTCATTTACTGCGGTAGTTGTGTTGTTTGCTTGTCCTAACGCTCATTTGGTACCTTAATTTTATTTTATTTTTCAGTTTTCTCTCCCATGCCCACACACACACACAAACACACACGCATACACAATTTTCGTATTTGGTGTTATGTTTTTCGGTTGGTTCATTTTGCCACTTTGCAAACAGAGAATCTTCATTCACGCATCATACATCTAAACATATTAAGACAAGTTCATTTATATTTTCGGCACAAGGTGGCAAGGTAGAGAGAGAACATCAATGCCAAACGAAACATGACTTTGAATGTGTAGTAGGCCTTCTCTGTATCACATTTTAGCCGCACCGGGATGATGAAGATCTATGCGAGCAGTCAAGCAAAATAAACATTCGCAATTTTTCGGCAAGCATACCAAATACACACATAAACCACCAACCACCACCAACTATCTACAACGGCACAGCACACATCTCACAATCATGGGTGAAAATGAAAATATAAAAACCCGAAATGAAAAAAGATTTTTTTTCTGTGTGTGTTCGGCGTCGCCTTCGTCTATTTCTTCATTTTCAGTTTTGCTGCTTTTGTGGCATTAAGAAAGTTTGATTTTTTTTCGCCGTAGGCCAAATTATTGTACGACCAGAATAGAAAAGGAGACAGAAAAACCAACATCACACATATAAAGGAATTATTTTCACTTTGGTGATATATGATCGTTTGGATAGGCATACAGTATATATCGTCCCCATGTAAAATACCAAAAATGTCACATATTTGCACACAATAGAAAATCATCAACAAGCGAATGTCGAATTATTATTATTACTATGTCGGGGTTTTTATCATGCTCTCTTCTTCTTCTTTCCTCCTTGACTGTCACCATACCTACCTATAAAATTCGTTACCAATCACGAACAATGCAGAATACCATCCAACCATTTCAATAGTGATGGCGTTTTTTTTTCTCTTTTTTTGCCAAAAATTCAAAGACGTTTAGAAAAATGATCTGATTCGTAAATGCCGATCCGTACGGCGTAAAGCCAATGATAAGAGCTAGTAAAAACATGAAACTCACGTGAAATTATGTATGAGCATATACATGTATTTATGCGAATGTGGCACTTGTACACCGTGAGCTATATTCCGTTTTTGGATAATGAAATCTAAACAGCACTCGGCGTATGTCACTTCACACAGCAAGAACAACAAAAACAACCACTATTGTCACATTGACATGTGTGCGTGTAACGTGCCATAAGAAAATTGTTTTTATGCAGCAAAAATTCGATAAAATCAAACGAAAAATGTCCAGGGTAAAAACACAAAATTAAGGAAATGTCGGAGTAAAACGTAAAAATAATGAAATGAAATAAAATTGAAGAAATGGGTAGTACAAGCTCTCTATATACGCATGTCATGTGGCTCAACTAACTCAACACAATAACAAACAATGCCGTTTCATGTACCATTTTTTTCACATCGCTTGCTTGTCGTTTTCTTCCGTCTTGTTAGTGTTACCTTTCCAAGATATATGCGGGTGTCATGAAAATACTATAAAAGAGGTAAAACCGAATCAATTTTATTTTTCATTTTCGGAGCACACCAATTGATACTCTCTTGGAAGAAATTATACTTCCTATTCTGTTTTTTAAGCATTTGTTCAAATTATTTGATCTTTTTTTATTCCATTCAAGAGAGCTTGTTGGTTTTTGTTTGAAAAATGCTTTTCATGAATAACGAAAGAAATCGTTGATGTATTTTGGTCGTCAAAATAAAAGTGAACGAGATCGGATTTAAAGCAAAAATACAAAAATATGGTAAAATCAAGAAAAAAACGAAGAAAAAAGAGAAATCTCAAAACATCAAAGCTTTTTTCTACATAAAAGGTTCGAGAAAATAGACTATATACACTGTCTCGAAATGGTTCCTGAATTTAAGTTTGGTTGATGTCATATATAATATGTTTATTACATACAACGTATAGCAAAAAAAATGCCAACGATGATTTCATTTTTAATAATATTTTTCTCGATTTTTCTTTGCCATTCGACAGATTCGAAATTTTCGTCGTCATTTTTCTCCATCCATTCTGGCTTTGAATTTTCGTATTTTTCACCGTCCATTTTTGCCGGTTTCGACACAGGCAAAAGCCACACGAAAAGTAAGTTTGAGCTCTGTACCTACGTGTTGGCGTATTTAATGCCTAGACATGAAATATAGATAGCAATGAAGCTCTTCTTCTTTGCTTTTCTTGTGTTTTCCTGACGCTCTGTATATATTTGCGGTAATGCTACATGATAAAGTGACGGCTAGCGTGTGCACTATGAAGTGTGTGTGTGTGTGTGTGTGTGTGTGTGTCGTTTTCTACATGACTTTTGATTTGTTTGGATTTCAATTTGTTGGAGCTGCAAGAGTATTTTATCTGCTTTTATCGTTTTTTGCCATACATGCCATCGTGCAAACGTCGTCCTTGTCTCCGTTTACACTTTTATTGTTGGCCGCAATGTTTTGAATGAAAGAGAGTCGTGTGTTAAGATCTCTCTCATATTCCAGACTTGTTCGACAAGTCTATTGATATCAAATGTGTAGCACTGAAATCACTTGTTTCGATTAAACACACAAAAAAGTCCGATGCGAAGAGAATCAAAGGCAGAAAGAGAGAGAGAGAGAAAATCTGGACAGAAAAATATTTATTAGATTTTTTGGCATTTCCTGCTCTTGGCAGTGAGGCACCATACTCGCAAAAATCCTCTTTTCTTCTTTTCTATGGCGTTCCAAATCATTCTCTCTTCAGTTTTTTTTGAGGGGCGCACTCTTATTAAATTGTGATACGCCATACCTGCATAACAATTTGAATTCATATCATGTCGATCGTTGATTTCTTTCATGTACCGAATCCCATAAATAGGAATAAAGTCATACGTCACGATTCATATTCTCAATTTTCCTCCTCAATTTTATTAAATTTTCATGAGATGCATTAGGTCCGAAGCAACAACAACAACAAAATAACATTGAACGAGATTCGTTTCGGAGATTCGTTTGATGATAAAAATGGAAACGTTCGTGCATTACTCATAATCGATTGAATACAGTCATGATTTTGAACTGTTTAATGATATAGTTGAGTTCAAAAAATAGCAACCAAGGCTCATTTATTCGATTTACTCCAATTTAATAGAAAACCCAATTGACAAATGTTTTCAAACACAGAACGTGGTGAGCGACCACAATTCATATCATTTCTTCAATAATTACTAGTTTTATTCATTTCATTTTTCCAAAATAGTTATTCTCTCCCTCAAATAAACGTTCATTATGAGAGGGTTTGTTTGTTTCGTTTCTGTTTAAAATTTATACTTTTAAACAAACAAAAAAAATTGAGCGTTTTGTTGAGCAAATGCGGTTCAACCACCGCTGTGCTTGCCTCGATCGTATCAATAGAGTTGTCGTTGTTGGGTTCTGTTTTTGGGGCGGAGTTGAAACGCAAGCAGCTTCGTGTCATTAACGATTATTGACGAAAATTTTAATAAACATACGGTTCGCGTGCATAAAGTATTCAGCTTGTTGTTGTTGAAAAATTGAACGATGAAATTTCAATAACATTTGTTTATATTTTTTGTCACAAAAAACACGCAACCGAATAATTCAGTATTTCACTGTATATCTATGAATTTTTATCGATAGAAAATTTTGAATTTGGAATTAAAATTTATGTAGAATAGAGAGAGAGAGAAGGAAAAAAACATAGTAGACTGCATAAATAACAATTGATTTGTTACTATACTGAATTGCGTTCAACGTTCACCATACATACACTCATAATCATATTTTTATGCTCATCGACTTTGTCATTGCCGAAGGAGAACACTATACAGACACATACACATGCGGACGCATCGAATTTTTACTTATTTTTGGGGTGATTTTTACGTTTTTTGAAATTGTGAATTTCAATAAGTGCGGCACTGCACTGTGTGTTTGTCGCTCATGCACCCAATTCAATCCCAATACAGTAAAGCACACGTTTCTTGATTCCCCTTTGTTATTCTTTTTCTTTTCTCGTCTGAAATATTTATTCAACGCATTTATCGATACATACAGACGCACATTGCTGCTCTCTGCTCAATGTTTGCTTCAACATTGTTTGCACAGAAAATGGGGTGTGGTGTGCGTTCGTAATGCAATTATTTTATTACAGTTAAGCCGCTCGGATCGCTGTGTATGTGTATATATGCATTTTTCCAAAAATTTGGAATTTTTTTTTCCAATGAAATTAGGAATAAAAATCGATACGACATGTATGTGTATGCGTGTATGCATGCGTATGTGTGTTTGTGTGTTTTGTCACCATCAACGTATATCCTGCACATGAAATGCAAACGGGCCTCTGCTAATCTCAGCAGACTTGCTACAAATGTAGCAATTGTATTTATTTCGATGTCGGTTGATTTTTAATTTTAGTTGGTATCGATTATTTGAACGATCGATAACGCATTTCACTCTCACTCTCTGACGACTTTTTTTTTTGTTTTGTTTTCGTATTGTTTTATTCCACGCAATGTGCAAACATCGAACCTGACATTGGAAGTGTAGATTTTTATCAAAAATTTAAATTTTTTTTTAATCGTGAGAAATGACCGAAAGACATTAGTGCCAAAAAAACATTTATAAGTGAAAAGATTTTTTTGTTTAGTGTTTTGTGCAATTTTTTCGTAAGTTTCTTTTTCGAGTTTTCCTTTCACGTTAAATCTGAGTTTTTGTGATATGTGTAACTGATTCTTAAGTGTATCCACCTCTTGAAATTTTCGCAAACAAAAGTGCTTTGTATTGGTATTGACAAAAAATCCGTTTCAATAACAATAATATTATACACACTTGCAAATGTCTGGCGTCAATCTCTTGACTACTTAGCAACGTGATTGTATATAGCCGCTTTCTCTCTCACACTCTTCGCATTTGCACACACTCGCATACGCATATTCCATATGAACAATTAAATTGAGCATATGGCTTCAGTATTTATCTGTTTTTGCCAAACGACTTGCCATCTCCAATTTTCCCGTTTCCATCCATTTTCACTTTCACTTTCTTCTGCCTGCATTGATTCAGAATGTAGCTGTTTTCTATCAGACTTTGCAATACTTTCATCTTTAGAGCACTTGAAGCCAATAAGCCAATAAAAAAGAAGCGATGCTGCATTAAATACGAACGAAATTGTACGGCAATCGAACAATAGAAAAAACGGTGGCAAAAGGAATGGAAATCGATCGAATTTATTGTATCACATGATTTCTAATCGAAACCGAAAAATTGTCTTCTATTTTCCGTTTAGCTCTTTATATCTGTGCCCTATTCGCAGTTATCATATTTTTTTCCGACGCATTTTATTTTGAGCAAACAAAAGCCACTAACATGAGCGCCACCGCGACAACAATATACTTTCACTGGCATATGTATTAAAAAAAATTTCAAACTGGATGGCAACAGCAACCAGAATTACAAATGCGTTCGTCAAACGGTATCGACGAAGTAAAAACTGTGAAACGAAAGAGCGAAAGAGTAGGAACAGAAATTTGAATGTAATAAAGCTTTGTTGGTACATGCTTAAAGATAAACATAACGAAAAAAACCACATATTAATGCTATTATCGATAGGCCATTTATTGTTACCAGGTTGCATGGACGAAGTGTGTGCAGCACATCGCACTTTTATCCCTCATCAACGCCACACATTTTCACGTGCCGCACATACGAGTTCAGGTGTACAAAATTCAATATTTTCATTTTGTTTCAAACACTGTCAAAGATTTTTATTGCCGATAACAAATTGCCCAACCACCAACTCGATAAAAAAAATAAAATTCAATTGATAAAAATGCCTCATGCGTCGTACGCCCCAGCAAATAGGTTCATTTCTCTTGGTGGAACAAAAAAATTAAATTCATTATTTATTTGATATCTTTGTGTGTCTGTTCCGTTTTTTTTCATGGCTGCTTTTCACATTCATATTTTAATAAGTGAAAACGAAAGAAGAAAAAAAGTGTTTTTGTTGATTTTGGTGTTAAATTCTCCTATTGAGAGAACGTGCAGCTACGCGTCTTTTTTTCGCTATTTATTTATTTATCTTTGGGCTTTGAATTGAAATTGTGTTCACACGCCAACATTTTGAGGATTTACACATTTCCAACCGAAAGGAGCAAATTGAAAGTGACTTTCAATTTTTCAAATGACAGAAGTTTTTTGATTTATAAAAAGAAATAAAAATTCGGGGTAGCATTTCGGTGCTTTGGCGCCACGTTCTCGACGCACAAAAACTATTGAAAAACTGAAAATTTCTGATTGCATCAGAATAATAATGGTAGTTTTTAAATAAACTTTTACGTTGATAGATGTGAAAGTTGTTCAAGATTTTGTCAATTTTTGTTTGCTGACTAATTTTGACCGAAAAAAATCCATCAAATCAAATTTTGCCCCCACTTTTGAATGACAATGATTGTTAAAATCGCGCGCACACACACACAAAAATAAAAGTCAATGATCCGCGCAAAAATAAATTTTTGAATATGGTATATTATTCATACGCCCATCGGCACTGTGATTTCGTGTCTGTGTGCAAAGTTATTATTTACTTGGTTTTTCATCCAACTTTCCATTACAATAAATTGAAAAAGTTTTCTCTATTTTTGCTTATTATTACATTTTTTTGTTGTTGTGTTGAATATTACAATAGTTTCTATTGCTACGGAGACCTTATATCAATTTCTTTGTTTGAGTTTGTAATTTCATTTTTAAAGTAGAATGAATGAAAAATCCTGTTAAATGAATCACAACGAATAACATTTCTTATATATATCAAAAGTTTTTCTTCTAATAATTTGTTTGTTTTTATCTCTCTTTTCTTCCATTTGTTATGTTTCGCATTCGGCGTTTGTTACACAGCTCGTAATGGCAGCATCTGTGTATGCTACACCACCTCCAGATCATTTGAGTGGCGATGAGACAGCACTTAGTGATGTATCCAATTCGTCGCAAATAAGTAGTCCGTCAAATTCAATGAAAACATTAAAACGAAGTTTGTCAGCCAGCTCTTTATTGAGTACATCATCAGCAATGGAAGTATCCGGTGTTGGTGCACCGCCCAGTATAACCACATCATCGCAAAACAGTCCGACTGCACCAAATAATGCAACAATACCGTTTGCAGGTAACATTAACATCTCGACACTGCCGTCGAGCATTGCAAATACATTGGACACGTTGACGTCAAGCAACGGCAGTACGGCAAACAGTGATGGTGGTATCAATATAAATAGTTTATCATCGTTGTTATTGGATTCGATGCCCGATAATTCAAAGAAACGACGCAAACAATCAACACCGATTCGTATATCAGAAACAAATAAAAATGCAATTCTACTAAACGCCATGGCCGCAATCGAGGCCAGAAATGGACAAATCGGAGCTGAGCAAAAGATCATTGATGGTGCAGACGGTGATGATGATTTAACACCATCGTCGACAACATCACTTTCCACAGTAATGCCACGAATTTATCTATCGAATTTGAGCCAATTGCAAGAGAAATCAATTGCAGCAATGAACTTCAAAACTGACAGCGAAATAGGAAACAGTGCACAAAAAGAGAATGGCCAAGAACAAGATAATGTGAAAAAATTGAGTGAAAGTCATGAACAATTTTTAAAATCATTTGTAAACAATTTGAATTGTGATCAGTGTGGATTGAAATTGAATTCAGAGATTCAACTTGGATTGCATATTTTGCAAGAGCATGCACCGAAAAATCTCGGTAAAGTTGGCGACACAAAATCGCCCGAAGATGAAATACCGAAGATTTTTGTAAAAAAAGAAATTGGTGGCGGCAACAGTTATAATAATGACGACGAGAAAGAGAAATTCATGCAAATGGCATCGAATGGACAATTAAAACCGGAAGATTGGCTTACATCATTATCGAATTTACCATTTGCATTTCCACCCGAAGCAGCTGTTATGCTGTCCGGTTATATGCCACAATTACCATTGCTCGGTGTTCCGAATAATCCATTCGCAACGGCTGACGGTTTGCCACGATCAGTCGGACCACAATTGCGTATTTTCAATCCCGAAGCATATTGCGATCTGTGCAACAAGGAATTTTGCAACAAATACTTCCTGAAAACGCACAAAGCAAACAAGCACAATATTTATGAATCGGCCACATCAAGCGCTGACACACCGACCACAAGTCAACTAAATCAAATGTCACAAGTCTTTCAAATGCATCAACAACAAATGGTCGCTCAACAGCAATTGGTATCGCCAAAATCACCGCCACAATTAATTCAGCAACCACAACAATCGTCAACATCATCACAACGTCAATCGCCATCAATATGCGGTGCATCACAATCGGCTGCGCCGGAAAATACAGTCATGTGCGATATTTGCTTTAAGCGTTATCCAAATGTATCGGCAATGCGACGTCATCGCTCCAAAACGCATGAAATTCCACCGTCAATCGAACCGAATAGCGATGCAAAAATGTCAACAAACACATCCAGCGCCGCATCAACGCCAATCACAATGCCAGAAGGTTTTCGTGAAGATTATTCCATTGAACAAGAAGATACCACATTTACGCCGCAACCACGAAAACTCTCACCACAATCCATTCTACAAGCACGCGAAGCAAATTTCTCGTACGACAAACTAAAGCGGCTCGGTGTCACCAATCCCGAATCATTTTGCGAAATTTGTTGCAAAGAATATTGCAATAAATACTTTTTGCGTACGCATAAAATGAAGCGTCATGGAATTATCATGCCACTCGACGATACAATTTTGAAAGACGGCCGATTGATGGCAAACGCAGCCGCTGCCGCTGCTAGTGCATGGCAATTAATGCAAAATGCACCGCTTAATCTAATCATGAACAATGCCGAAGCATTCAGTCAACTACACAATCAACGGAAAAAACTTGAAGCCGGCGAAGTTCGTAAACTCTCCATTGAAAGTATGGACGACGATGAGCTGGAGCAGCCAAACAAAAAGCGTAAATTGAATGAAAATGATAAAAAACAAATGGATGAAACTGACGATGGTGACGATGCTGAAAATAAATCAACAGATAATCAACAAGACAGTGAAAATATAAGCGTTGATTTGCAAAAGCTACAAAGTATGATTATGCAGTTGAACGATTTGAATGCTCAGCGACCGGTTATGTGTGGAATTTGCGGTAAAGAGCAAGAAAATCAATTTGTCCTGCACACACACATGTTGGCCGAACACACAAACATTGGCGATAACAACAACGGTCTGAAAACGTCACCGAGCACATCACCAGTCATCAATCAAGCTACAAGTGAAACGTGTAAACATTGTGACAAAGAGCTGCCAAATGCGTTCGCATTGAATCAACACTTATTTGAGATACATGGCATTTCACCGACAAGTCCCGTTCGAGATGGGTTTGTAACGCCCGAACGACCAATTTCTGGTCTGAGTTTACCACCGCAAGCACCCAACGCCCAAATTACCGACCGTCGACCATACACAATCACACCGACCAGCAGCTATTGCGAGATTTGCAATAAAGAATTGTGTAACAAGTATTTCATGAAAACACACATGCAACGAATGCACGGCATTGAAATTGAAAATGGAAGTAAGTAATATTTCTCCTTTTTTTCTCGTTTTTCTACAGCATCACACTAAAATACCGCCACAAATGAAAATAAATCAAATCATCATATTAAAATGGATTTTTTTCACTTTATTTTTTTTCTTGGATAATTAGGTCAAATTGGCGGTGTCGTTTGTAATATTTGTAACAAAGAGCTATGCAGTAAATACTTTTTGCGTGTGCACAAACACAACACACACGGTATTGTTGATGATGGATCACCGTTGCCGCAACCACGTCAAAATGGTGAACAAATTGAACCGGACACATCGTCAATGTTCTCATCATCAGTGGATTCCGCGTTGCGATCCGGTGAGATTACAAACGATTTGAATAATCGATATTTTGCGCATTGTGTATGTCCATTGTGTAATCGCCGATTCCGCGATGTAAAATATTTGAAACCGCATCTTTTAAACGATCATGGCAAAGCTGGTATCGATAAATTCCGTGAAATTGAACAACAACTACCAAAAACATCGAACAGTCCGCCAATTAAAATTCCAAATGGTGTCACATTTCCCGGTTTAAATCCAACCGACCCGAATTTCATGCAAAAACAAGCACTCAACAGTTTATTTGCCGTTGACAGTGAATCACAAGGTTCGAAAGCCAAAGAATATCAATGCTCATTTTGCTCATTTTCCACACCATCGTATGCATTTCTCTACATTCACAAGCGTTCATTGCACGCAGCACTAATGCCCAATGAAGCGTTGGCCGGTTTAAATATTCCGAACAATGATAATAATGAGCTGTCTGAATCGGCTGTTTCGATTGCAAAAGATCAACAAACAATGGGTCTGAAGTCTTCGTCGAATGAAACAACTTCGGTTGGCAATACACCAATCTCAACTCCAGCCACAACACCAATACCGATTCAGCTGCCAGCCATCGAAGCACAAAACATTTCTTCTTTAATTCACAAAGAAAATCAAATTGTGAATGATGTGGAAATGTTATTGAAAGGTGCCACACAAGAGCAAAAAATCAACGACGAACAACAACAACAGCAGCAACAACGTCAGGATCAATTCGAGGCTCAAAATATTCTCGCCGAAATGGCAAATTTTACAAAACGACCCACAACCTATGCCATACCACAGGAATTCAGCAACGGCATGTTTATGCAATCATTTCTCTTGGAACCCATTGACAATGACGATGTAAATGGAGCCGATACAACCGGCACTGGCAACACAAAAACAAGGTTCGTACCATCTGTTGTATTCTTACCGGTCAGAGAACGTGTAGTTGGCAGAACTACTGTTTCATTCTCCTTAACACCAGCTTAAACTTAAGAACAAAATATTGAAAGTTCATATTTGCCAAATTGATGAAAAACAAATGAAAATTAAACATGAATTTAAACCTAAAAAAGCGCGCATTTTCATACAAGGAGAATGAAACAAGCGGCGAAAGATGAAAAACATTTAACAGAAAATTGTATTTTTAGCTACTTATCGATAAAAGTAATCATATAAAATGCTACTTAAAGAATATACATTTTAAATAACAAAAAAAACATAATAATTTATAATACCACTAAACTATCCTCATTTCTAGTTATTGTGCAATGCTAGTCAAATTTAATTATTTACTTATTGTCTGATCAAAGAAAGTAAAACAAAAGAATAAAAGTAAATCAAAAATGAAAAAAATGATAACAAACTACTTAGACTAAAATATGAACTTAGTAAGCCATAAATGACAACCGGTGACAATTGACTGTCACAATGTTTTTGCCGAATAGGCAAACAACAAAACCAAAAATTAAAAATAATAGCAGCAGTCAAACCGTGAAAAGAATAAAAGAAACGAAAAGAATGAAACGGATTGAAGACTGAGAAGTAAAATTTGCAAGCAAACGAAGTACGAAAAGGAGAGTCAATGAGAAACGAAGCGGCAAACCCTCTTGGTTCGCGAAAGCGAGAGGGAGAGCAATAGTGAAAAGTGATGTTTTCAACAAAGTTCCTAACAAAATCAAAAAAAAAATAAGTTTAACTACGTGAAGAAAATACCTCATAAAATGTGACATAACTATATTTATTATTTCTTTGTATAAAGTCAACTAGTAGTTCTTTTGTTCATAATGATCTTCGTATCGGTTTTCTTTTCATATTTTTTTGTTCCAGTTCAATGATTCAAAACCCTGCTCAATTTCAAACAGCATTCATTCCAAAGTTAAATAGATTTTCGTTTTAAGTATGGTTTCCTTTTCAATCTTTCTTTTTTTCTCAAAAATGTTCTTCGTTCAAACGAATGAAATCAAATCAGGTGTTTTTTCATTAGTGTAAATTTAATGTAATATTTTATAGATAATTGTAATGACAACATTTAAAAAAAAACGAGTCACACACAACAGTCGAAATGAAAGCCATTTTGGCAAGTATTCCTTATAAAGCACTACCAATCGCATGCTTGTAAAATGCTTAAGAAAACCAAACCAAAAAAACCTCCAAAGATGGCTTATATTTGTAATAATTGTGTACAGACACCCCAGGTTGAAACTAGTCTCTAGTCATAACATATTCTAATGCCAAAAATGAAATAGCCGAATGTGCAAGATAGCAAAAATCCAACAATAATGACTAAATCAAATAAAAATACCAAAATAAACGAAGAAAAACGTCAATAAACATTAATAATTGCGATACAATGAATGAAAACTATATAATATGAAAATACACTCAGGGCTTAAATAAAAGTACAATCTTTTGACATAAGTTTATCAAATACATAAAATGAAACTCGTTTAAAACAAATAACTAAATGAAAGCTGATCATTAATTTTCGGCGCTTGAGAAAAAGGCACAATTTAAGTTTCGAAAGTGAAATGGTTCAATTGTCAAAATGGCAACCGAAAAAGAATACGAAGTGGTTTAAATGCAGGATGTTTTCCATCGATTTTGACACTTTTTCCTCATTCGAATTCATTCGAACCATTGAAATCAGTGACTACTAATGACTCAAAAAATGTTGTGTGCCTTTTTAGTGGTTGCTGATTTTGTTTTGTTAGCATTTTTTCCGAACAAAATCGAAATTGAACGATGACAGCAATGAAATTATGATCAGTGAGCTAAAATCTGCGATAGCAACTCAATCAAAAAAAAAAAAAAAGAAAGAAAAATAAGTAAAGAGATAAAACTACGGCGAAATGTTTTGATTTGACGGACACGAGAGACTAACTGAATTGGATATATCCAAGAAAAAAAATTGGTCTTCTCAAAGGAGAAGCTAAAAGAAACTTTTTCATATATTTTGTATTTTGAACGGGTGATATATATGGAACTGTTTGTTATAAACACGAGAAAAGACACTTCTACACACATTTAACACAATTGAAATAACACAACAATTCGAACAATGGACATTTATTTTTATAATTTTCTTTCTTTTACATACTTTCTAAGCGATTATGATTTTGCTGTAGATGAATTAGATTTAATATTATTATTTTTTAATTTAATAAAGATGAATGATTCGAAGAATTAATAACTTTTTTGGTTGAGTTTATTTTTATCATTTTATTTTTCTCTTGTTTTGTAATTTAAGGTAAGAAGAGTGAATGGTGGTTTTTTTTGTTCTCATTGTTTGTTTTATATTTTTTATGGAAGAGACTACAAATTGGATGCAATATGGGTGACCAATGACCAGACTATTATTTTATTACACGGTGGGTGAAATGACTAAATTGTTGTCATTTTGAACATGAAAAATATAATATTAATAACTACTGATTGAGTGGTTTGCATTATGTATTAATGTCAATCATAAAAAAATACGGGATTTCAACTTTGAAATGAATCGTTGCGACGAAACAGTAGCTCTTATTTTTCTCCAAATAATACTGCAACATGAAGTTTTTTTCACACGGTTTATTTGTTGTAATACAACAAATAAACTATTCATAAAAAACTTTATGTTGCAGTATTATTTGGAGAAAAATAAGAGCTACTCTTTCGCCGCAACGATTCAAATAAGAGAAAAAAAACTATAAATTGACATTTTCCCATTTTTCGCCTACAGTGAAATTGAATAAGATTTATGATAACATTTGGTTGTTTTTTTAGTATATAAAAATCCAAAAATAAAAATTTTCAATCATACGGGTGGATTGAATGTCGTTGAGCATGCGGTTGATTGCTGAGAAGAGAAAAGTCATCAATTTCCACACATTTGACAATAAGCCACAAATGAAGAGAGAAATTACACTTTTTTTGTATTTTGACAAAAAACTCTCTCGTCAATGGCCTCGACACAATGGTTTCACAATTACACTTAATTATTATGCAAGAGATCTCTAGATGATACATTTCCAAATCAATCGTCTATAATCTCAATTGATTATTTCTTTTGAAAAATGTTTCTCTTTTTTTAACGACGATGGTTTTTTTGCCATTATCATCTAAACTGACCGTTATAAAAATGATACATTCCCCTATAATTTTGAACAAAAAGCAGCGGTATTGAATGTGTTTAGATTTTTTTTTTCATATGACAAACATTCGAATGAAGTCTATATTCAAATTGAAATACATCATGCTGTTTGCATTTTCAAAAGCCATCCCAAATTAGAATTCTACATGTGCACACAAAAAAACACATTGAGAGAGAATTCAAATTAATGGCTGTCGATCGTTTTCCATTCAAAAAGAATAAAAATCAACAGAAAAATGCATAAAAACTCGCCCAAAACGCATTTTGATTTTCAATTAAATTGCCCTAATTTTTTCTATATGCATTTCTTGTGTATGTGCCAGTGCAGATTGAAGACCATTGCCCTCGTCAAATGCATCTGAAATGAGGGTCGTTTTGCATTTTTCCTTTTGAAATCAGGCTATAATATATATAGATGAAGAAGGAAAAAAATAATTGATTTTATTTTATGCACATTTTTATTGTGTTTTGAATATGCATTTCCAAAAATGTGTTTGAAAAAGAGCGAATGTGCATCAATTGTGCGTTTTTCAATCGCAGTCTGCAACCGCTGCATATGCACAATTACATTTGAGCATTGATTTTGATTTTCATGCGTTGTGCATGTGCATTCGAACAATTCGTATTCAAATCCATTAAAAGGAACGCTTTGTGTGACTGTGCATGCGACAGACACAATTTTTGGCCATTATATTTCGAAAAAATATGCACATTCGATTTCATTTTTCGATTTGAAAATCTAACATAAAATGAAAAATGATTTTTACCTACGGACAAAAAATGTGTGTGTGTGTGTGTGTGTGAAATAAAAACTGTTACGCATGAAAACGCACCACAGGAAGAGAATAATAGAAAATGACCGGTATAGTTAAATACATTGTAAAACATATGATGTTTTCAAAATTCATAAAATGAAGCTCCTATTTTTAATGGATATTCCATTGACCATTGACTCAGGGACGATTTTTTTCAGAACAAAATATGAAAAAAAAATAGACCAACAGAGGGAGAAAGATGCGCAAACGTATCGATATACAACAATAAAAAAATTGACGGATTTTTATAAAAATGCAGCTGCAGCTACATCGCACACGTTCGTTACAAACTATCGATAGTTAGGCAGATTTATGGTAATAATTTATACCTAGAGGAAAAAAACCGATTTGAATTTTTGTTTTTGATGAAGGTATTTTGTGATTTACCTTTTTCTGAATTCACAACTGCACAAAGCAAAGCAAAACTGTGTCTGTTGTTGACAACAAATTTCAAATCATCTAATTGCGTGCAAGAAAATTAAGAAATGAGAAATGTCGAAAATCCTCGTTCGTCCTTTCAATCGTTCGTCGGCATACACATCGAAATAAACAACCAATAAAATAGATTTTAACGCCAAAACTACAAATAGAGACATGTTCAACAACATCGAAATGAAACATGATGAAAAAAAAGTGAATTTTATTATTATTTTGTTTCGATTGCCACCTTCGGCAGCCAAACACGCACAACAATATAAACGCATATATTTAATCGATTTCGAGAGAGAATAAAGAAGAACGAAAGTAATAAAAGAGAAGAGAGCAATGTGTAATTTTCAACTTTCGATTGTAAACTTCGGTGGCATATGTCTTTTGGTACGGTGTGTAGCGCACGCGTTCATTCCGCATTAGAAACGCACACCTGTTTATAATCTAAACTGAACCGAGGAAAAAAACCCGTCCTTATTTTTGCTTTACAATGTCATTCGATTCTAATTGTTTGCCGCGTAGCGTGGATCGATGTTTGTAAAACATTTGTCAAGCGGTTCGTGTATTCCTTTTTGAATTCAATGTGGAGAATGCTTCTTATCTAAATGCTGAGCAAATAGCTCGCTTTGGTTGTTGTTTCGGTTGAAATTGAAAAGAATTTGTTTTTTTTTTCTTTTGCGCGGCAGTAAAAACATAATTACTTTGCATTCGCGGACCGTCGAACAAAAAAAGTGAAATGATTTCAAAAGGTGTTTCTTTGGTTCTCCTTTTTTCCCATCGATAATAACAAAGGAATAACACTCATCATAATCAAAGCATAAATTTTCCACATTTTTTTTATCACTGAAAATAAACAGTGCTGTTGTTTTGAGTCACAAGACAGTCCCTCCATTCATTTCAATAATGACAATGGCACGTATACTATACGTATATCAACCGTCCGAATTTCATT